GTAGGCTCAGGCTGCACGTAATAAGCAGGGCAGGAGAGGGGAATCTATCATTTCTCCCCTTGGACCTGCCTTTTGCAGCTGCCCTTGTCGCCATCACAAATTATCACTTAATGCCTATGATGCAAGAAGGACTCCAGGCTTATTAGGCTAAGCTATCTCTGAATGCCAGGACAGCAGACTCCCCCCCCCATAATGCTAAGTACCACAGTGCTCTTAAATTCTGTGCCTGTTCGTACAGAAACCATAAGATTACAGAGGAGCACACCACCAGGTTTCTCATTTCATAAACAGACACCTGAAAACATATGGACTGCCAAATTAATTTTCATGTCGGAAAACCAGCGTTCATACCTACTCTGAACCCTGTCACTCCACCCCTTCAGGTATTCTCTCCAGCATCCATTAACATTCTCAGCTTGACTAGATACCTCAATTAGGGCAAGGCCTGGACATACACAGTACATATCATTAACACCCTACCACACCCTAGAGGATTTGTACCCCAGAAAAAGTCAAGTTTTAACAGGTGAGCTGGACAAAGAAGTGATAACAAACATCAGATGTTTTAGCAATATCACATAGATTTTTGTCAGGATGAATGACAGATGCTCACTTATCACTGAGTCTCTGAAAAATTTCCTGTATAACACAACTCCTCACACCAGTTGAAACATTTCCAGGGGCAAGAGCTTGATCCCAAGACATCATCCATAGTTATCTTTCCTGTTTTTGAGGGGTTTCTTAGGGTGGTTGTTGTTGTTGGTTTTGGTTTTTTACAGACTGCCCAGGGGGGTTGTGGAGTCTCCTTCTTTGGAGATATTCAAAACCCGCCTGGATGATGTCCTGTGCAACCTGCTCTAGGTGACCCTGCTTTAGCAGGAGGGTTGGACTAGATGATCTCCCAAGGACCCTTCTAACCCTTGCCATTCTGTGATTCTGTGAAATCCCTCTGCCTTTATTCCCCTTTTAAAACATGTCACTTTGACACTTCAGTAGCTGGCACTCTGAACATGCTGAAAAGACTTCAGACACAACACTCCTCAACGAACTGAAAATACTCCTTGCTTTTTATCTTTCAATACTGATAACTGGAACTTGTGCTAGGAAGTCAGGCTACTTAAGCCTGATGGTAACTTCTTTAAGGCACTCCATCCATGGAGATTAGGTTCTTCCCGAGGGCTGGTTTAAATTTGACATGCATTCTGCTTCTCTGCATTTCTTGAGAATTGCCTTTAAACACAGAGTGAAATGGGAAAGTTTTCACTGCTTAAACACAAGGACTAACCTGAAAGAGCTCACTGCTTGCAAATGCATAGTTTCTTAATACTGAAAAAAGTCTCTTCACCCTTTACCTCCTAAACCTGACTCACTAATCTTATTACTGCCACCATTTGTACTGGTTCTTGGCATTTATTCTGCAGAGCTTTACTTACCAACACAACACTTCTGACACCATTTAGTGTCAGGAATTTTTGTAGACACTGCAAACTTCCTACAAGATATAAATACAGAATTATTGATCAACTAAAACAATTGAAAGAATTTGCTTTTTAGAGAGTTGTTGGTGGGAAAATTGTATTTGCCCCCCAGAAAAACTAAAAATATATTCCTTTGTTTATTTCTTCTCAGAATGGTATGCTGAAAACATACATGGTGATGCCTTTGTTAGCACTGAGAAGCTGCTCAGTTATGCAGCATTATGAATGCAGTTACAAGTCAGGAAAGGAGATGAATAGGTTCCTCAGTACCTTCAAGCATCATTTACCACTATCTCTTGCTATTTAATTATATGTATTTATACACATGCCTGGATAATCCAGTCTATTGGTACTCCCATGATTATTCTTTGCAATGCTGTAACATATTGCATCTTGCACTGGATACTACACAGACAACATAAAGTCCACTCTTGTCCCAGAGACATTATTCACAAGACACATAGACCCAAGGGGTGTGGGAAATGATGCCATACTGGACAGTGTGCTGGGCCACAGTCCTTGCAAACTAACAGCTTAAATTTTGCAAAACTTCACATGCGTTTCAAGAGGAGGTCTGAAGTAGGACTGGAAGACAGCTTTGCAAGATCTTCTCTCATGTGCAGGGAACACTCCCTGAGAAATCACGAAAACAATTACTGGAAAATTTATCAGATAAGACAGGGAAGATGTTGTCATTTGTTTCTATACAGACTTGAATACGACAGACAGTATGGAGATTGGCCACAGTAGCCTTGACAGTAAAAATAACTAGTTCGATGCTGTAGAGAAGATGGGAATAAGTGGAGTGACAGATGCTGCAGTCAAAGCTATGAATTGGGAAAAACACTTGCATAGCATTTCAGATGAAGCTGTTCAGAAGTGACGGATAATGCAGCAGGACTGAGCAGAATGAAAACTAAGTACTTAGCCCCAAATTTTGCTTGGAAGAAGTCATGGAAGGTTGGGAAAGGAACTGCTCAAGGACACTTAAGGGAAAAAAGCTGGAAAGGAGACTTAACACATTTTCTGCTACTGAATGTTTGCCTACCAAGTATCATAAATTGAGCTTAGACCATTTTGCAGATGAATATATGAACCTCACAAATTACTTCAAATTCTATTTTGCTTTGCATTTTCTCTACTGAAAACTTTGCTTTTAACATATCTACATTTCTCATGTAGCACTCATCTTCAGGGTATCTGGGAACTTGCTAAAGAATACACTTTGTGGTCTGATAGGGAAAAAAAATTATGCTCTTCTATGCACTTCAAATGTATTACTTCTGCCTGGCTAAATGTTACTACCCTGATGCCTTACAGCAAGGCATAAACTGGCAAAATGGATTATCTAAATGAGTCACTCCTGCCTTTGAATGACTGGCTTGGCATGCACACATTCAGGTTGTGTTGCATTTTTCTTGGGAAGTGACATGACTGGACAAGAAATTTTCCAAGCCCTCTGCAACCTAGTTGAGATGTCACTCCAGGCTGAATGCAGTCTGAAGGTCTTCCTCACATGATCTTTATGATAAGTATGGTTATTAGTCCATTGCTGATGCAGTCTTCAAGCCAAAGTCACCCAGCCAAAGTTAGTTTGGAAGAGAGAGGAACACAACGGTGGTGCAGGCACACAGAAGACAACAATTCAAAGCACAAATTATCTCTTAGGTAATTAGAATTTAGCTTCTAGGAAGAACACAATATTCAGACAAGTGTTGCACCATTATATTTGTAGATAACTGAACAAGAAGCCTTTCCTGAATCCAAGAATTAATGTTAATAAGCTGTTAACAGGTAGCAGAGAATCAGGTCTTCTCTAATAAAATTTCCTTACAGAAAGCCTATTATACAAGAAGAAATGGAGATTCACTATGCACTTCAAGAATCAAAGGTTTCTCTGCAAACTAAATTAGTGTTACGACCTCCTCCTCTTGGATCTGAATGGGGTCCTAAGGCTTGTTTGGCAGCCAGCACTATACCCAGTCTCTGGGATTTTGTATGTGCTTGTTAGTAAATAAAGTTGGAGGGGAGGGGCTGCATGCACAATGTGCTGTAGGCCTCTCAGGACAAAAGTATCTTGTACACTAGCCTGCGAAAAATGACTACCTAATGATGAATGTCAAATCTTACTCCAGTTCTACTCTTCCCAGCTTTCCAAATAACCCATGAGCCCATTCCCTCTGCAGCAAAAGATTACACAGCGCCACTTTGTTTAAATAGAATGGAAAGACAGTGCCCAGAATAACTAATCTAAGATCACCATTCCTACTTGTGTGAAATCACAGGTACAATACTCACCCTAGATTTTGTTTAGCATCAGGTACAACCAGGATTTACCATACTAGACTATACCTGAAAAGAGCTATGCCCAGAAACAAGAGTCTTCATGACAAGAAGGTAAGATGTACCAAAACCCATTTCTCTAATAAAAGTATATTCACATCTTGATTTGTGTAAATTTAAGGATCTACCCTCTCATTAATGCCCATATGATTTATTTGTGGCAATCTGTGAACAAAGCTCCACATTATTTAGTATTCCCAGAGTTTCACAAGCATATCCTGTCCTCCCAGAATTAAGATATACCAATATATCTGATGACATATATTTACCTGGGAAGTATTCGGTCAGGGAGTTTATGTGCTGGAATAGCAACTGGTAACTTTTGCATTTGCCTTGCATAATCAAACAGTCCTGGTAGATTATGGGAATAAAGCTGAGAAGCTTTACCTGGGAATTAGAAAACAAAACCACACTTCAAATACGAAACCAAATGTTTACCAGCACTACCACTCAAAGATAGCACAGTAACTTACCAGATATTGATAACAAGCAATTGTTCATGACATATAACCATGTACACCTTCGAGGAAATAGCTGATAAAGGGAAGGAAAAAAAAAGAAAGAAAAGCATTCATTTTGATATACAGAAAATGTGAGCACATTAAGTTGATCAATTAATATCTGCATAGAAAACAGCACAAAAATAATATTGACTTGTTTTTTGTAGCAGAAATTAGCTTAAGCCAAGTAATGTTTACCTGGATTCCAGAATTAATTCAGAATAAATCTTAGGCACAGACACTATATTTAACATACACATTAACATTTAGACAATTAAACATTTCATATTCATGTCTCCAAGTATACTATAATTAGTCAACAAGATGTAATTTTAAAGATCAATCCTTTTTCAAAATTTTAAAAACCACCAACCTTTCTCCTTCAAAGGAGAAAAGCTTAACAACAAACTTCAGTAAACAAAGCATGGTCAACAAATCACAGCCATTCTAAAGCCTGTGATAGTCCGAATCTCTTGAAACAATGAAAACTGGCACTTGAAAGGACTCTCCCATACGATTACAGATTTCACTTAAGTGATCACGGAAGGCAATAAATGGTCAAGGCAGAATTGTTATTTGTTAGATTCCACAATTACTAGAAAGATGGGGCTGAAACCAACAAGACATCCTTAAAAAAAAAAAAAAAAGATAAAAAATATGGTACTTTTTTCCCTCTCACGTAACTTCTGGAGCTTGCTGCCACAAGAGGTCATGGAGGTGGAAAGCATCAACAATGTAAATTATGGATTAGACATACTCATGTCCAACAGGTCCATTAATGGACACAAAAAGCAAATAGGCAGCGATCCTCCAACATGCCCAATTTAATGACTGTAGTGGAGTCTGAGGAGAACAGACAGTGGCCAAGCTCACAGGCATTTCCTACTATCGCTTCAGGAAATAAGACTATTGGGCTAGAGAGACACTATGGAAGATATTTCTTTTGCTCTTAAAATAAATAAAAAAAACAAACCACAAAACAAAAAACCCCACCAAACAAGAACACAACCTTAGTAGCTTTGGATCTGAGGATTAGAGAAGAATGTCAATACTTCAGATTTGTAGGTTGATTGACCTGTCACTCATTCCTCCTGTTCCATACGAGTGGTTGTTTTTACAAGCATCTCCTGCTTATTAAAACATTTCCCTAAAAGCTCACTAGGCAATGCACTACAGAACATGGTGCTTAGCGAAAACAAGGATGGATGTGAGAGCATGAGTTTCATTACACCTATTCTCCTGGTCAATTTAAAAAAAAAAAAAAAAAAGAAAAAGAAAAAGAAAGGAAAAAACAAACAAAACTTTCCTTGGTCTACCTGGCCTACAAGAATATTTCATTGGTGATATTTTTCAGGGTAGGTTTTACAACTGCAGTGCAGCAGCAGAGAGCTACCTGAACTGAGTTTAAACCAGCTAACTCAAGCATCAGTATGATTATGGGTTACACGGAGCTCAGTGCAAGCTAAGTAGGCCTTCTTCTCAACACAACAGACATATCTACAATGTCTGGACCCTGGAAGATGAACAAAAACCAATGCCTCCAGCTTACAGTGTGAAGGCTGTCTTTGCAAATTCTTCCATCTTGATGGCAGATGCATAGCTCCCTAAGTTAGGGAGAAGGCAGGAAAGAAAACAAGTCTCTTAGAGATTAATAAAAAAGCTGGAGAAGACACCATACAGAGAAGCCTGCAGCTGGTATTTCCCCCTCCCCACTATCCCCTCAAAAAATTACTATTTCTAGAATTCTGCAAAGACAGAGTTTTAATTGGGATTTAGTAAGCTCAGTCTCATCACCAAAGTTGCTTTTAATGCCAAAAGAATGGACTCTAGTGTATGAAGGATCTCCTTCCTTCCCTGTAGCTGAAACACATTTGTTGCAAATATTCTATCTTGTAACAAAGCTTTAAAGAAAATAGAAAATTTCATCCAGAATATATCAGGGACATTCCATACTATTTAAAAAATCATTTAACTGCAGGACAACTATGATGAAGTTCAACACATTGATATATGCAGATCTCCTACTTAAATATGGTTCAGCCTTAAAAACTTAAACATGACTGAAAGGTATCCTCAATAGTAAACATTTAAGGTAATTCTCAGTGTAGCTAGTGTCTATGTAACTGTAGTAAAGACAATTTTTACAAAGATTATACAACATTAATCTGAGTGGCTAAAAAAATGACAAAGATGCTTTTTTTTCCAAAATATCTAAACAGAAATATACCTGCTCCATTGATGTTTCATGAAGTTCATTGAGGTTCAGTGTGTAAATACCTTCTTCTGCACCAAATATCAAGTACTGATCTGCAAACACAAACAAAAAAAATCTAGAAATCCTGACTTAAGGAAGGTGTGTTTTATAAGGGTACGCAGCTCTTTACCAAAAAAAGACTTAAAACAATTATGCGCATTGAAACAAACCAAGCTATAATAGTGATGCTGCTTGAAAGCATGGAAAATTAACCTTGCTAAGGAAGCTTAAATTTGTGGATGAGGCTGTTTTAAGACATTAGGAAAGATCAGTCTTTTTTTTCTGTGACTAACAATTGGAATAAAAACCAGCAGTGATACAACCATAAGCAAGAATACATGTAAATAATTCCCTCATATATAGATACATGTAAATAATTCCCTCATATATAGATTATCCTACTTAGATATTTCCATATATTTTGTGACCTATTCATAGTGTTCTTTTAGAGGACTTCAACAGCAGTATTGACTGGAATGTTTTCTCAGTACTTTGGAGGTGCCTCAATTCTTGAACATAATTAATACCTTGGATTGCACTTAGACATGTGAACAAGACAGACATATACTGAGAAGATGTCAATTGCAAAAGATTGACTTCTGTAACTTCAGTTTCTAAAAACCTGAAGTATTTTCTTGCTTACTGTCTCAATAGCATGTCTATATAGCCTACAATCAAAAGGTGAAATTGCAGGCAATGCAAGTACAATATTACCAATTATCCCGTTCATCAGGCTATTTATTTTTGCATACATTACAATGTATACATTAAAATGTAGTGCTTTATTAAAGAGAGTTGGAGAAACCTGTAAGACCAGAAAGATTCAGCGGGGGTGGGAGGGGTGGGGGAGGAGCATAATCAAGTGAATGATAAAGAAATCAATCTCAACTAGGACCTCCAGAAGTAAGATTTTTTAAAAATATATTAGGGTTTGCATCTATTGGAGTAAAATGCTGAGAAGAGTCTTGAATCAAAACCAAAAAAACATGGGTTTTTTTACCTTGGATATGTAATATTTTCTTTAATCAAAGTTGAAAAGTGTTCCCCATATGTATCTTAACATAATTAAAAAAACAACACTGAACTTCAGACAGCAGTGGCATCATTAAAGAAAAACTTCCTACTCACATAAACAAACTTATTTTACAATATGTCTATTTCAAAAAGAATAGTCTTGCTCATCTAAGCACTCTTGAAATCTGAGGAGAGGACAAAATGGGTAAATTACATGTAATATACTACCTCTTGTATCTGGATTTATCCATGATGTTGCACAATGAATTTTTAATGGACAGCCATTGAAAACCTTTGAAAAGCAAGCACCCATCTGTAGAAGTAAAAACAATTAAAAATATCCATAAGAAAAATTTAAAAGTGACATTTCCAATAGGATTATTTTTACTTAAAGTAGTAACAAAAGGTTAAGAGTAGTTTAATTTGTCACATGGAAAATAACCTCAGCCAGACAACAAGTTGACAAAGGGTTTTGTTTTTTTTTTTAATTTATTTTTCCTGTGCACTGAAAGGCACACAACAGGAAAGACACCAGATGACACTCCAAGCTGCTCCTGTAACCAGCTACACAATTCTCCTTAACCCTTTCCAAGCACAGAGATGCTGCACAGTGGAGGGATGCTGTGCTCACTGCTAAGAACTAGTTGAGCTCTGCAGTGATAAGATAGATAAGAAAGAAGGAGGAGATGGAAATCAGAAGACATTAAAAATTTTCCTCTGACCCTGATCTCCAGGAAGCCTGCAGAGCCAAGATGCTGCTGCAAATGCCTCAGAAGGGTAAACGGAGCCTGAGGGTATCAGCGCTGAATACCAAACAAATCTCAAGGATACAGCTGAGAATCAGACAAATGATTAAACTGAGTTGCTAGTGGGGAACAAAAACCCCCACAAACAAGCAAGGCTGCTTAATCTGACTGCTGCCATGGAGGCATTTAAATCTTGGGGGAATTTCAGCAGGCAGGGCATTCCCTCATTGGCAGGATCTAACAGGTTTCCCTGTGCTGCAAGCCACCTAAAATAGCAGGGAGAAACACACTACCAGACTGGGTTATTAAGAAAGTTGAACAAAGTCTCTAAAGTCACAGGCAACCATGCATAGATACCATTTAAACAGAGCTCCAGAACATCTAACTATTTTAGATGACAGTGAGAACGCAAACCACTTCTTAAAACTTGGCAACATACTTGAAAAACTGCAAATAAAAAAAAAACCACCTATCAAACAACAATCAGGCCAATGATGTACCACAGAAAAATAACAGAAGAGATTGACAATATTGTCAAAGTTCTACTTGCAGTAGTAAGGTATTTGTTAAATAAGATTCCCAGGTGATGTTAGGATGCAAAACACGCTCCGCAACAGAGAAAAGTAAAGAGTCCAGTAATCCCAATGACTTGGGAGAAAAACCCTCTCTTTACCCAAATTTTCATTATTTGGCAGGCAGAGAGGAACATGTAACAGGAAGGTTACAAAGTTTGTTATACATAAAATGTGGGGTGTGATGAGGGAAGAGGAAGAGAA